TTTTCCATAGGTGCTAACTCTTTCTTAAATAGCTTCACTTCCTTCCCAAATGCATGAGATGTTTGTGTGCATCTTAATGGTGCCATAAATAGGCAGTCTTTGAATGACGCAGTGGTGAGTCTTGTTTGGCAAAAACATTGAAGCCTCTTAATGATGCCAAAACCCTCTAACCATTTTTTTATCTATGGCAAAGCCAAATCATTCAGATGTCTCATTCTTCCATATTTTCCCATCAAGTATCTCTCTTTCCTCTACTCTCTTCCTCCTCCTACTGGAGATTCCTGTCTCTGGGGATTCCCTTCTCAGGTGATCGTTGTCTTTGCCGATCTCCTCCCAAGGCATCTAATTTTCTTTTCATCTCTCCATCGATCTCCTCCCAGGGTAACTCTCTTTCTTTTTTCTTCAAATTTTAACACTACTTTTTTTTAGCTCTTTTTCTTCTCAATAATAGTAGGGGGTGAAGATTTATGATCTCCTCCCACTACTATATGGTTCATCTTTGATTTGTATTAATCTTTTTCTGCTACTTAAAGAGTATGCTAAGTAGGTATTGCTTTTACATATTATAGGGTTTAGTAGTTGAGACCTATTTTAAGACTTGAGAATATGAGGAAAAGCCAAGGAAATCTTGAAAAGTAATAATAGATTGTGTAGCCTTTCAATCTTTCTTCTGTGTCAATGGTTACTTTCTAGTATCAATGGAAGACATGCTTATTTTTGGTTTCTGTCTATGGTTTTGTTCATCCACATTTTGCTATATATGTTTATGATTTGTCATAATATGTTGATTTTCCAATTATTTGACATGGTTTGTTTCTTATTTAATTTGACCATGTAGTTGTAATTTGTGATATGAATTTGTTTTATTCAGCAACTGTCTGACAGCTATATTTCATTCAGAACTAAATTATATAAAGAAATAAAATGGTAATTTGTTGTTATTCAGAACAATTATCAAACAACCATATTTTATTCTCCATTATATAGTCTATCAATCATTCTGACCACTTAATCATTCTGCATCAAACCATTTAGCATCTGTCAAATGGCCCTAACACAACGCCCAAACTTTTGCGGTGGGGGTGTGTGGCGGTTGTAATGGCAACAGTAGTAGTGTGGTGGGGGAGAGGGGTAGGGGAGTGACAATGACAGTAGTAGCATGGTCGTGGTGGGGGGAGGGTGGGAGGTATTGGTTAAATTGGATGCAAAAGAATGAAATTTCCTTCACATTAATTGTGGAATTCAATGAAATTCAAAGGATTCCTATATTTTTAATATGTAAACCAAATAAAGGAATTGAATTTGGTCAAAGGAATTGATCATTACAATTCCCTTGAAATCCTTTGAATTTCGCAAACCAAACAGCCCCTTAGGGTATGAGTTGATTACGATATGATCAAGTACAATGACAAGCTTTTAATCCTTATCATAATTGTTATTGCTGGTTTCATATATGACATTGTACTCGATAAAATTATAATGTTATCGTTAGGATTTCAGTTTTAGTGACCGTGTTGCTGGTGACTGTTAGGATTTAATAACTGACATGTAGAGATGATACACAAGTTCCATATATAACCAGATTGTGTATAAATTATCCAACAACCAAAACTCTAAAACAAAAGGGATCCCAATCATGTTCAATTTTTAAATAAATGATAATGCACAATAGTAGTAACCAATTAATGCAAATGCAATGTAAACCACAACGAACATAACGATTTAGCATCGTTTCACTATAATGTGATAGTGTACATTTACGGGCACTACAATAAAATTGGGTTTATAGGACACCCCTCAATCTCTAAGCGTCCCAATAAACTGCTTTATAAAACTTAATTTACAGGACCAAAATATAAAGCGTCATATTTAAAGATGTTGTAATAAGTGTATATGATGCTTTTAGGCGTCTTAACAAGTTTTTTAGAACATTTTCAATACAAAGTGTCACATTAGCAACTTTATAAGACAATTTTGAGAAAGTGTCCTATAAACTCAATTTTTTATAGGATATTTGTTTTTATAGGACAATTTTTCAAATAGTGTCATATAAAGTTGTTAATGAGACGATTTATATTAAAAGTGTCCTAAAAACTTATTACGACGTCAAAAAATGTCATATAAACTTATTACAACACCTTTAGATATGATGTTTTATTTTTTTGGTTCTATAAACTAAGTCTTATAAAGAGGTCTATTAAAACGCTTAGAAATTGAGAATATCCTATAAACCCGATTTTGTTGTAGTGGGGGAAAGACAAGACCATGTATATTGATCATCAATGGAGGTCATAATGAGATCTTACCTTCATAGTAATCAAGCAATAATTCACATGTAAATTGAAACGACCTAAACTATAAAACTAAATTGACAAATTATTGAGATACTTTTTTCACGAATCTGTAACTTTTACTTGTTTTTCACTTGATCAATTCCCCACACATATATAGACACAAAGCTACACCACTTTCTGTGCCACATGTTTTAATATAAATAGAAGCACCAGTATAGGCGCCCATGCTTTTACCACGTTGGAACTGAGTTGTTTATCGAACGCTTACCAGATACGCGTTTATTAATAAGAATTAATCTCATCCTCGTTCATTTTACTTGTTGGATTCACATTTTCGCTCATTAAAATGAATTGTCCGTAAGTGTCTCTTACCTCGTAAACATTAACCGGATAAGATTATTAGTTTTTGTCATGCTCATCAAGATAACTGACACCCGGTAAATGATGGATAAACAACCCCTTAGTTGAGAACCAGAAAGTACATTGTAATTTGAGAAAGAACATTTTTATTGACGTTTATTTTGATAGAATGGTTTTGAACGATTTGGATTTTGTGAAAGAATTTGGAATTGGAGGATTTGGATTTAGAAGGATTTGGAATGGAATTCCATTTTCTATAAACTAGTTGTGTACCCGCGCAATGAGCCATGAATTTTAATGATTTTGAAGTTTCACTGGTTTTATAAGATAAGATTTAACGATGATATAGATTACACTTGGTCTTTACATATTAATACAATTTGAATAAATAAGAGCTATGGTTCCAATTACAGACTATCGATGAAAAAAAATTGTATGAAAATTTAAAATCCAATATATTTAAAATCCAACATATTTAAACGACTCCACAAATGTATTCGATTTACACCAAGAGCAAAGAACCAAGAAACTTGAGTTTTAAGATAAACACTCAAAACCAATAAAGAAAACTACAAATTTGACAGATCATAATAAGCCATGAAAAGACAAAAAAAAATAGGTTTTAGAATGAAATTTCAACTGCTTACCCTCTTTCTTGTCCAGAAACTCAGATTAAGGTTGAATTAATACATGTATATATATATATATATATATATATATATAAAATTCAAAACATATTATGCAGTGCAATTTCGACAGCCTAACCGCAAAATATATAGTATATATATAAATAAATAACTATAAAAGTAGAAATCGTAAATATTAAAAATATTTTTCACAGTATATATAATATATAATAATATAATTAAGTCAAAAACTATTCAATATTGGACTTATTTCGAAGGTATTAACGTGACAATTATAATGGTGTAACATGTTAAAATAAAAATGTATATTTTACATATTTTAATTGATATACGATTATGTATGTTAATTTGATTAATGTTTAAAATGAAACATTTAAAAGTAAAGGACGTAAAGTAAATTAATTAATTAATTATAGGGGTATAAAGTRTAAATTTAAAATTATAATTTAAAAAAAATGTGAGAATGTGAGTGTATGTGAGGAGATGAGGGAATGAAAAAATGAGTATAAAATGTATTTTGGTCATTTACAATTTTAAGACTTTAAAACTTTTGTTAAATTTGCTTAATAAAATAGTATAGATAATTTATAAAAACAAATTATAAATAATTATAAGAATAATTAAGTTACCCTTTTATTGATGAATTATTAGAAACTAAATGTTTTTAACATATTTTAAAACATTATTATATACAAATTCTATGAAATCACGTGAAATCCTAATCACCCCGTTAGAATTCACAATCCTATGTTTAAAGGATTTCAATAGATTCCTAATATTTCAAATTCAGACAATCCTGCATACCAAACACAGAATTAGAATGGATTTGAAATTCAAATCCCCAAATTTCATCCAATTCCTGCAAACTAAACGAATCATTTGCAACATTGTTTGAGGAATTTGAATTTCATGGAGGGATTTAGATTGAAATAGATTTGAATCATTGATGTCTTTGGTTTGTAAAATTTTAAATGAAATTAGACCATAAAGAATTTATAAAAAAAAATTATAAAAGATAATTAAATTACATTTTTATTAATCAATTATTAGAAAACAAATGCTTTTAACATTTTTAAAACCTAATCTCATACAATCCTACGAAATCCCGTGAAATCTCAAGCACCCTTAAGGATTTCAAAATCCTATGTTTGTAAGATTTCAATTAAATCTTAGGATTTTAAATCCGAACAATACAGCATGAAATTAGAATGGATTTGAAATCAAATCCCCCAAATCTATTCCATTCTTACAAACCAAACAGGACGTTATTGAAACTTTGCCAAGATTTTCCCAAAATGTGTGACGAATATAAATGGTCTTATCAAGGCACAATTCACTTTAACCAGTCAAATAACCGATGGGCACGACAATTTTTAAACAACGGATTATCCTTAACCCCATCAACAGATTTTCAGGTTTATAACCTTAAATGAGACTTTAATTAAATCAATGACCCTTCTCATGAGTATAAACCCATTTTTTCTTGTATAGACCAAAAATGGTCATGAATTTAATCAAAAACTCATTGAAGGTCACATCCCTAAATGACCCTCTTAACCAGTCCTACGGTCATTTGAAAATATCATATCTAATATGAATTGACAGGTTATAACCGGTTGTTAACCAGTTTTCAGACCTTCATGCCCACCTCTAAACTTAGGACAAAGGACCAATGGACCCAACCGAAACCATAGGTACATGATTCAATCTCGAAGCCAATCTTTTTAAGTAATATGACAACGTCCATGAGATAAATAATTGCAACCATATGCTAAATGTACAGTTTTACCTTACAGAATAAGATCTAGGCATAACCGGCCATGCCAACAGTCGAACTAGATCGGTTGGTTTTGTGAGCAGGCTGAGTCGTCGTAGCCTTGGTAAAGTACATGTAGTAATACACATTTAGAATCATGGTCACCACGACAAACACCGCCCCTGCAACAAAAACACCTTTCCTCAATGTGTCACATGAAAAGCTTTCCGTCATGCCCTTGTATTTAGTATGGTAAGCGTTTTTCTTTGCCCCTGCTATCAGACAAGCTTCCGCAACCAGAAAAGTCATCCTGCATAACGTAAAGAATAAAAGGTTGGGAATTCTTCTACTTTGTGCTCATCTGTTAAAACCAGACCGGAAGCTACTTGGGGTAGCGATGTTGTTTCCATTACGTAGTCCGTATGAATGATGGATTTAGAAAGTAATAGGTTTGACTTCAAAAGTCAAAGATATGAATGAACTTCAAATAGAAGCAGCTTACCAGGATGATGTGAAATATATGATGGTCCAAGCTCGATTTCCACCAGGTGCTAAAGGCCTTCCAAAACACATGCACTTAGTCACACCCATAAGCAATGATTCACCTGAGAGTAGAAACAAGAAAGCCCCGACGCCATATCCAGTTGCAACATCTGAGTCGTAAACGCAGTACGTAGAATTGGTCACGTCGTCTCTATGAATTGTTCCCTGTCATCAAGAAATCTTTTTATTAGATGAATCAAAAACACAAGGATGTTTACACAATACAAATTTATAATAATCCACCACAACTAAACACGAACTTGGAATAGGATGCACTTTCTACTGCATATAGAAATACAGATTTGATGATATTTTACTTTTTTCAAATTCACAACCGGAAATATTGTTGCTTCTTAAGTTGTGTTCATGACTCAACTTTTCTCAACATGAAGGGAATCTTTCCAATTATTTATGAGTAACTGTATCAAAGAAACAATTAAACTAGTCATCTAAAAAAGGAACTACATAAGAATAATATAGTATTACAATTCTGTGTTTCATATGTTTATTATTTATTTTTTTGATTAACCTGGATATCCAACCCGCTATGCAAGCCGACTAATCCCAGGGGGACCACCTGCTTTGTGGGTATCCTGGAGTCACCGTATTTGAACCTCCATGGCACAAGGGGATTTTTATTCCTCCTTGGGTTTGAACCTGGGACCTCTTGGCACTTTTGATCTTTGGAGCCCAAGCTCAAACCAATCAGGCACCACCCTTGTGGTTTATGTTTATTATATTCGTGTACCTAAATCAATCCTCCATGTGTGTGCTTAATCCTGCTTATGCAGTCAAGCACTAGATCACTCAACCGCTAGCCCTACCTAACGCTTTTTAAAACACTATTATTCACCATCACTAAGAGCATCTCCAACAGAATCTCCAAAATTTCTTCAAAATGCATAATTAAAATTCAAAATCCCTAAAGATATTACGTTCAACTCCAACAAATTCTTTTATAGACGACAACATTAATTACATTATTAAAATAACTTGTAAATTTAATAAAATACTATTTTTCTCTCCTAAACATTAAAGATCAAGGTTTCTTATTGGACATAATAAAACACAAAAATATTTTTCTCATGGTAATCATCTTTGGGGGGTTCTATAAATTTGGAGAATTTCACTCTCTCCTACTTTCTCCAACTTGGAGAGTTTTCGAGAATCTGCTGGAGCAAAAGATTTGCCTAAAATCCCCAAAATCTCCATTTCCATATTTTTGGAAAAGCTGTTGGAGATGACCCAAGTGAACCATCTTTGCCCCTCCTCCATGCATACGCCTTTTTCCATTGGATTTTTATTATTTAAAAGAACCATAAGAAGAGCACACAACCATTTTCAAAGCATTGATTATCATAAATGACTGAAATGCCCCAATATATGAAATGCTTTCCTTTTTGTGTTCATTTGTATTAAAGAAATAAATCACTATAAAATATGTGCCCTATTATTAAGTCATCAACAATGGACGGATTTCTTCTCTATCTTCACTATCACCAAATAAAATTAAAAATAGTAATCGCACTCATGACGTTGGAGTGACCCAAAAGCATCATGGTTGATTTTTGTCATTGATGTCGTGCCAGTGCACAATCCATTTATAATTTATATGGAACACAGACACCTGATACAAACACTTTTCTGAAAGAAATTTGAAATTTTCTATTCACTCGGATAGCAAATTGTTTGTTTTCTTCTTTGGTAATCATAGCGTCCCGTCTTTGGCCGACTAAGTTAACAAGATCCGAATCCACTAGGAAGCAAATTGCTGCCTTACAAGTTAAAAATCCAATATAAGATCACTTGGAGAATCTAAAAGTGTTCCAAGTAAGTTAGGATTAGTAAAACCATCAAGAAGTGTCATGTATACAAGATGGAACGTTGTGTTACAATGAATCTGGGAAACAATACGCGACCAATGTGAGAGATGGCATCACTCACATGGCTGATGCATAGTTTGGAAGCCTTCTATGATCCCTAAGCAAACATGTCTTAGTGATTAGGATTGCAACAAGTCTTATCACTAGCTCTGGGTTTTCCGTGAATATGTAGTTTTTGTTAATGACCATCCAAAATCAACCAAAAGGATAACATAATTAATGTATATGAACTTAACCAAGAGAAGAACATAAGATAATTCAATATACATGAACTTGTGTCAGGACCAACATGCCAACAAACTTTGATGTATTTGTACAACACTTGTCAACATAATCTGTTCACTCGTGAACATAATTCTGTTCACTTGTGAGATATGTGCTCTTATAACACTTAATAATGAAAATCACCAGCTTATGATTTGAATTCGAACATGAACAAGTTTATGCTTAAGCTTGTTTGATAGGCTAGGAAAAATGACAAGCAATATATGAATTACCAAAGTCACTACAAGTCTTTGTTAGAGTAAATTCTAATAGAGGACCAAAGCGAAATGACTCAGACTAGAGCATGTACATGAAGAATTTCCTATACAGACCACACAGACTATTTTCTAGTATGAACCACTAAGGTTAGAAAAGATTGATTCTCTTCTGAATTTATCATACATGTGCACCTCATATGTGAGTGAGAGATGTTGGATCTCAGGTCATGGGTCGATTCCAGATCCACCCATGATGAGTGCCCAAAGTGACACCCAAATATAAATGGGTCCAATAACTCCTTGGTGGCAGTTGAAGATGGATTTCTTCAATGAGAAACTACCATATCTAAGGCATCATTATTGCACATATTTTTTTGGGTGAACAAACTAAAGATTTTGCCATTTTGGTCAAGTATACATGCATACGTGTGCATATTGTAGAGCATAAACTTTCAAAGAGAGACAAAACCAGTATAATACAGTTCACTGCAATTGGGTAGGATTTTGGTTGGGATAGAAGAAGCATTTCCATCTGCAGTCTCACTCCAAACAACCAGTGATACAAGTTTTTCCCGTGGAGCACCAGGAAACCTATACTACAAAGAAATGTTGTACCAACAAATTCGATGCATCCAATTGAACATTTGTCAGTCTCCAATTCTGAATTTTTCAGTTGGATAGTATAATAAAGCACTACACTAAGCAAGCTTCAAATCGGGCACCAGTCCAAGATTTGAAGGGGATCTTTCCCCTCCAATATCGCTCATTCAAAATAATTAGCACAGCCATTTCCAGAGCAGAACACAGAAAGGCACAGAGCTCCAACAAAAATCACAACTCAAAAATCACTCTTATGAGACATTGAGACTGCAGATCATGTAGAATCTCAAACGAAGTCAAACTTTGCACATCAAAAACCTAGATCTTAGTAAGCCAAAGAATAAACTTCAAGGATGAAACTTTAGCGAAGCATAAATCATCACCCTATCAGCAAATAGAATTGTGGCCAAACACGAAAAATCTAACACAATCAAAGCACTAACCATATACTGATCTACAAAACCCTAAGTAGCAACCGAATTGAACATAAAAGAGTTGAGTGAAGAGAGAAAGAAAGAAAGCAAGCGTACAGTGCTACGACGGCGTTCAGCAGCAATGGAGAAACCAAAAGCAACTAAGCATAAGATTACAACAAGTAGATGAACTAGAGTTGATCCCTTCTCTTCACCCATATCTCTCTCCTTTCTTCTTCTTGGTGTTTTGGGGAGAGAGAGAGTGAAGTGAGAATTTAAAAAGGTTAGGTTTTTTGGGGGGACTGTTGTTTTACAGTAAGAAAGGAAAAGAGCTGCGAAATGCTTCCAGAAGCCTCATCGCCTTATTTTATTTTCATTTTTAAATACCATTTTTATAATTTTTCTAAAATCTATACAACCTTATAAACCAGATGTGTCAAAAGTTTTAAAAACAATTTTTAATACACAAATTCTTAAAATTCTTAAAAATAACTCATAATGCATTAAGTATTACTACTTTGTGCATTTAGTCTTAAAATCATTTAATCTACGATTAAAATAACATATAGTACAAGTTATCAATAAATATTATTATTTTTTCTTTTCATGTTCCCAAGATACTTTTGACATCTTTCATTCATGTCTTCACTCTCTCATACCTCTATGACTTCTCCTCGTCTCCCAATATGAGATTCAAACTGATATTCACCATGAGTTATTAAAAGTTTTCTCATTTATCTCTCATTCAATTGCTCTGAAACTCTCGGTCTCGCTCTCGATCTCTTGATTCTTTGCTCTTGGTATAAATAAAACACATTTCTTAAGTCGTTTAAATATGTTGGATTTTAAATATATTTGATTTTAAACTGTCATACAATTTTTTCATCGATAGACTGTAATTGGAACCATAACTTGCATTTATTCAAATTGTATTAATATGTAAATATCAAGTGTAATTTATATCATCGTTAAATCTTCTCTAATAAAACCAGTGAAACTTCAAAATCGTTAAAATTCACGGTTCTCATCACATTGTACGGATACACAACTAGTAGTAAACTAAAACATAATTTTTTTTAAAAATTTATATTTATTTTAATATATTATCTATTTTAAAAAATTTAACATAAATTATAATATTATTATTATCTTCTCTAGTTTATCATTCAATACAATTTTTTAGAAAAACTTTTTTTTAAAATCTAATAACTTTGGTAAAATTTAAAAAAAAAATTATTTCACTTAAAGAATTTTCCATATTTAAAATTTTCTGTATTTTAAAGAACAAATTAGCAAATTTATTGGAACAATTTAAACAACAAAACCTCATTTTTTTTTCCCTATTTTAAAGAAATTATTGAAGATGTTTTTATTTCCGTTTTTCAAATATAAATTTATAAGAGTTCAATTACGTTTTTGGTACATATGGTTGGTTTTTATTAATGTGGATTATAAATTATTGTTGTTTTTTTCTTATTACTTATGATTTATTACATTTTTTTCTTTTATAGGTTTATAATTTATTTATATTTTCATTTTTCAAAATTGATTGTAATGAATTATCTTCATGATTACAAATTACAAGGAAAAAAGCCACAATTCAGAAAGTATAAATTCTAAATAAAATAATTTTTTAATTTTTGTTTACCACATTGAATCTAGAGAAATTACTTAAAATGATTATTTTATACATAATACATCGGAAAACAAACACATGTATTTACTTATCATAAGTATCAAATATATAGTCTTGTGTAGTATTAGACTAAGACGAACCATAATTGGTTGTTCGTCTAACATACTTTCGACAACTACTTGAAGTTTCAGGATTTGACCTAGGAGCTGGCATCAGACTTGAAAAATTATAATGAAAATGTCCATTATGGTGGCATCGACTGCAAGTTTTCACTATCAGTTCATCATCTCATGACGGGATACGGTCGTTGTTTCGTGGTCTGCCAGAGTTTTGTATGTCCATGGGAGGCGGTAGAACGGTCATACGTTCTTTGGGCAACACGTATTCAGCTTCTGGTGGCAAATGATTTACTTCCTCCTCGTATGTTTCCCGATAAGAATCAGAGTTGAACTAGACCGAACAAAATTGGTTGCAGTCTTGAATACCTAAACTTCGAGCAACCGATATTACGTGACTGTAAGGTATACCAGAAAGTTGTCAATGCATGCATGTACAAGTCTTGGCATGCAAATCGCAAATTCCGTTCCTATACAATTGACGGGATACTATGGAAATTAGGGTATTTTGTAGTTGACAACCTTGACACCAAGAGTATCGAGCTAAAATTGAAGAATGAAACCATCACCATTAACGAGTTCATGGTGCATCAAATGCTAGGAGTTCATAATAAAATTTTAATTTTATTATGAATGTATTTTCATAGAAGATTATGTGTCATTACCACTAGTTCATAATGCATTGACAACAAAGGACATTATTTGTTACTTACAAAATTTCTTAAATGCATGAAGATTCACAATGACATTAGAAATGCACAAGTAACGATCACAATTTTGGTTGCAGGATTTCATGAAGAGATTGGATGATAAATTCTCATTGTTGATGGTTACAACATGGGAGGCAGAAGCAAAAGACAAGTATATATATATATATATATATATATATATATATATATATATTCAATAAATACCAGAATGACCTAACAACATATTCCACAAGGACAAAGCCACTGCACGGAATCAAGAATGAAATCTGAAGAGAACCATGCATCCATGTCTAAAGAGAACCATGCATCCATGTCTAAAGAGATTCACCCAACCGTTGAGAAAGTGAATGTGAACAAAGAGGGAGTAGCAATTACACCATTAAAGATAAACTTTGAGCAGGAGGACTCATCATAGAAGTTGACACCTCTTTCACAATATTGGTATAGCTAGACAACGTATGACATCATAGATGCTACAATCCTTCAAATTTTAGCAAGTATCGCAACAACTGATCATGAACCGAGTACAATAATTAATAGGACTTCTGAAGTGTCATGTGTTACAAGTATTGAGATGATCGTGGTTGATAACCAAAATGAAGATTGGGAAGATGATGTTCTTATACCTAGCTTCAACCTTGGAATTATCCCCCAAAAGGTGATAGAGGCACCTATTGTAACGAGAATGAGGAAAGAAACAATCGTTGAAGAGGAGGTAACTAGATGTAAGTTAAAACTTGAAGAAAAAAATGAAATCACCATACGTGAAATGTGAGGTGTTAGTTGGAAAAGATATACAACATAAGAGGGAAAAAAAATGCATAAATGGAGTTTAGTTGCATTTGTTAACCCACAGTAGTGAGTAATATTATAATTATGATGAGTTGAATTATTTGTGAAAAACACAATTATAAATATCTTAAGAAGTATTTCATTTATGAAAATGATAATGACACAATCTATATTTTTTATAGTGATATGTCGTGACTCATCAGCAACTGGCCAATGAGTTCTCTGATCAGCAATTGAAAGCCTTGCAGCATTTGTATATATATATATATATATATATATACACACACACATACACACACACACACTAATACGATAGATGGTTAGGATAACATACTTAATTATGAAGAGAGATTTCGAAGCTGTGATTCATCTGTTTTGATGGTTGGCAGCAATTGTGATGATGACAGTAGTAGCCTGGTGGTGGGTGTGCGCTCCTACCCCACTAACCATACCATGTTACTACCGTCATCGTCTCACCCACCCCGCCCCACCACCAGGCCACTATTGCCTTCATCATAGTTGCCACCCCACCTTCACACCCTACTGACCATCATGCCACTATGTCTGTCTCAACAATCATCCCCATCCCGCCCACGCCCACCCCCTCGCTTCTCTCCTCTCCCCACTCTTACCTGCCCCTTATTGGCATGACGGTCAGTGGGTCAGGGTAGGGGTGGTAGTTGAAACAAGGATATTGGTTGCATGGTAGTCGGGTGGCAAGGGTAGGTTGTAGGTTGGGGTATGGTAGGTGAAAGAGATGGTTGTGGTTGGGGTGGAGACCGTGGAGTGGGTGACGAGAGACAGCATTGGGGTGGGTTAGTGTGATGACGACTATAGTGGCATGGTGGTCAGTGGTGGGTTAGGAGTCAGGTAGGGTGCGATGGTGATGGAGTTAGGAATGAGGACATGACATTGACAATAGTAGCACGATTATGGTGGGGGCCGGGGTGGGAGGTGTTGGTTAAATAAGATGCAAATTGATAAAATTCAATTCATTCACTTGTGCCAAAGAATGATGAATTCATTAATTTGTAGAATTCAAAGGATTTCATATGTCTCCATAAGTGAACCAAACAAAGGAATTGATCATTTTAATTCCTTGAAATCCCTTGAATTCTATAAACCAAACATCACCTAAAAGAACACTCAACAAAATGCAACCATGATGGTAGTAGAAGTGAACATGGGTTAGATTGGTCGGTTGAAAGTAGGGGTAAGCATCGGAATCAGGTACCTGCCTTTGGGATCGGAACAGCTCCGGAACTGTTGGTTCCTAAACCCGGATATGTGTGATTGGTTGCGATTCCGGTTCCTAAAATACGAAACAGATTGGCACTGGTTTCGATCCTCGTTATTATTTTTTTTTGAACTATTAACAGTAGGGTACCCGCCTAGACCAGTTCTGAGACCGGGTACTCAATACTGCTGGTTACCCAGAACCGAAATCGACATGTACCAACTATTTTTATAAAAAAGTATTCGTTTAATAAACTAAAATCGAAATTATTAATTTACCTTTTAGAGTTACATTTACCTTTGCCCATCCCTATTTTCACCATTTGTAGTATTTATTTCTTTACGTTGGTACTTTGTAATAAACCAATAATTATTTTCTTATAGTATGAAATGATAAAATTTGAGAAAAAAATAGACACCGGATACCCGGTAGAAACCGGTTTCAAGCGGTTCCGGGACTGGTTCCCAAATATAAAGAACTGATGTAACCAATTTTGGTTCCAATTCCTTCATTCCATGAACCCCGGTTCCGGTCCAGGATCAATTCCATGAATTTTGATCGGGTGCCCGCTTTTGTTCACCCCTAATTGAAAGCCATGAATAACCAAGTTTAATGTTTCAATTTAAAGATTCTCAACCTAATCAAGAGTAGAACCTGACCAAGTCAAACCGTACAGATTACGTTGTGTTAGTCGAATTGAAGCTTTGTTACAATATTATATCACATAAAATGGTTCATACCAAATAGACTATATCAATCAACGACCTTTTAATATGTCCAACTTAGACGATTTTTCAGTCTTAAGCGTAATTATTTATTCTGTAACCAATCACAAATCAATCCTTAATTATTTATTATGTAACCAAGCACAAATCAACCCGCCAACAGATTGACCTAATTCAAAGTGGCAGGTATTTATTGTGCTGCTAACAAACACATGCACAATGTCTCCCATTTATGGATTGTAAATTTTTGTTTACTAAATCATTTCTCCAACTGTGTACCCATGATTTTCTTTACTTCTCTCGTACAAGTATTTAAGGGTTTTAAGAAATTCCAACAAGTTATTTAGGGAGCGGATTATTTTTCTCTCGAGTTGAATTAAGATTCGACTAAGATGGTAAAAGGATGTTATTATCACCTAAGGAAAGGAATGAGGAAAAGTAGTACTTGTTTAACGTGCCAAACATCTGCTCTGTCAACTAAATAAACTTGGAACAAGTAATTCGCTATGTCAAATCTACATCCAAAAGTGCAAGCATAATTTAGGAAATGACACCATGAAACCAAAAACAAGATGAGATATATTCCTGTAAAAATATTACATATACTTATTTACAACGTCAAGAAAAAAGACCCAACTCGATATACGACCTTAAAACTTTTATACACATTTCTCTTCAAAAAGTCGCAATCTCATAACGCTTACGAAAGGACTCCCAGAAACAAGAAGAAAAAAATTGAAATGATTTCTTATACTTACAAATCATCACCAGAAGGATAAAACTTCAAATCTAAAACCAAGACAAACTCTCTCACTCTCCCCATTATTTTGGTCACCACCTCCCTAATTACTTACATACGGACGAAGATTAAAGACCACCCTTCTATTTACACTAAAAGTACCCAACTCCCACTCTCTCCCCTTCTCTCGCTCTTTATCTCTTCAAAATTCCTCTTTAGAAGGCATGCTAGGATTAAATAGACTGATGGATTTTTTATCTGCTCTTTTTCTACAACTCTGTTTATGTACTTGGATGAAGAAAGTATGTTTTGGATTAAGGGTTTGATTTAGGCGAGGGCAGGGATGCTGCAATTGCGCCTGTTGTCCCTATCGAGACAATCAAACCCCTCAACCCTCACAGCCGGTTTGTTACCAAAATTGGCACGAAGGCATCCACCTTTCCTTGTGGATGAAGATGAGGATGCAGATGACAAACCGGATGATGCAGGATTGGGGATAATAGCACGAGGCGAGATTGGGGAGGTCTTGCCATCCCCAAATCTCGCATCTTGTATAAGTGGGTTAGAAACTCTACTCGGCGGTGACCCACTGAAAAAAGGGGGCGACGAGGCTACCTGTGTATATGTTTGTTCTGATGCAGCATAACCACTACCCTGCTGTAATAAGAAACAAAGTCAACATCAGATTTACAACAATTCTCTCCCATCAGCTTTGAACTAAAAGAATATGGTGTCGAAAAGAATCAAGATCTACACATTCGTTGTGAAAACACGTTACTAGAATCCCTAATAACAGGATTATGAACTAAAACTATGAAGATGAAAACTGGTGCTTAATTAGTTTAATCTTCAAAATGATTTTGATCCAACCCTTGTCAAACATAGTTTTGAGATCCTTCAGAGGTGATCACAAAACTGACGATTAAAGACCATATCCGAAGACAGAACCTATACTGGAAACTAGATAACATATTGCAGCGCAACAAGTTTCGAAGATCAACGAGTATGCACTTAACGGCCATAAAAAACATAAATTAATCAATTCAATACCTTTGCAAAGATAATGTCCAAGAGCTCAGGTCCGGCATTCGATTCGTAACCTTCCGATTGATAGCTGCAAAGAGAACGAAAAACCGGAGGTAAGTTTAGAGAGACAAAATTCATTGAAATCTGAAAGTAAAAAACAAAAATTACCACATCTGCCATCGAAGAGGCCTGACAGGCTCGTTGTTGGTGGTGCTGAAGAGGCTGAGCCGCCTCGGTTTTGGACAAACCATAGGCTCACAGTTATCGAAGGTTACAGAAACTGAAAAAGAACCCCTCATCTCTTCACAAGATGATGCAAAGGTATTGTTCTGATGGATTCCACAGTGATTCATTTTCCTTTTTTCCTATTCAAATAGGACCTGTACAAAAAATATCACAAGAATCAAATCATGTACATGGACGCAGACACAAACCCTAGATCTGAAAGAAGGAATTATATTAAAAAATAGAAGATAAAATTACAAAATAAAATAAATGAAAGAAAATTGAGAATAATAAATAGATAAACATTAACAAAAAAATTAGAAACAAGACTCTGTGTTCAACGTTTTAATATTAAATTCAATATTTAAGAATTAATGTATATAGATTTTAGGGAAGTGCCAGTAGCCTGTCTCTAAATTATTTCCATGTCGAATATATTCAAAAGAGAAAGGACAAAAGTTAAAAACGATGCAGATCTGTCGTAAAAACCGATTTTTTTTGTCTTTGATCAATCATACGAACACAAACTCATAGATGCAACCGCTTCTTACGGATCTATAACCAGATGCCGATGGAGATGCTACGAGTAAAAACGAAATTAAAAACTTTCAGATGCGTGATTGTCTCGTTGATGGAAAGGATGAACACAGAAGGTTACGATTTTTTTTAATTTTCGCCAAATCAAAATTCAGCAGAAATCTATATAAGATGAAGTTTTCAGATCAAACATAGCTTGACAATTGTAAAACGTCTACCAAAAACAGAATAATAAGTTCTACTGAGATCAGTAGACTTCAGTTTCAGAAAAAACAATTAAGAAACTTCAAATCCGTAACATCTGCATACATCAACCTGGGGGAAAAACAGATCTAAAAGAGCCTTGTGAAAATTGAACCTGAGAAAAGCAAGGAATACAGACCTCGATGAAATTCAAACAAATTTGAGTTAATTTCTCACCTGACGAAGCTGGAAAGTTGAAAACTCGTAACAGAGCCTCCTGTGGGTGGAGTAATAGAAAGCGAAGAAAAATCAGGCGAAGACGAAGAAGAAAGGGAAGAAAGGGTGAGATGGGTGTGATATATAGAGGTGAAAATGAAACAGAAAAACAAGAAATTGAATGAAGAATTGAGAGATGAGAGAGAGAGAGAGAGAGAGAGAGAGAGAGAGATGGGAGACAAGAACTGGAAGGCCTGCAAAAGAAAGCATTTAGTGGCCATTTTCCATACCCCCTACACGTCATTTTATTGCTCTCACAATCGAATTGTTTAATATACTTTTTTATTTTCAAATTATAATTTATATCCTTATATTTATTTTATTTATTTATATCCTTTTTTTTTTTTACACCATCATTACAATAACCAACACAATCCTGTATTTATTTAATATATTTTTAAAA